CCGGGATGCGGCAGCGGCCGGGATGCGGCAGCGGCCGGGATGCGGCAGCGGCCGGGATGCGGCAGCGGCCGGGATGCGGCAGCGTTCTTCCGACGGGTGCTGCCAATGGAGATCCAGTTTGCGAAATAAAAGCGGGAACGACACGCCTGTGAAAGGCATGAAGTCTGCGGATAATTAGTGAGACCAATGAGTACCTGGATGAGATTTGAAACTTGTCAGAGCACTTCGAAGTTCATTAACAGCAGAAGGAAGAGACTTGAAACGTTTCCTAAAGTTGACTTGGGATGAAAACATGCCAAACCTGCTTGGTGGCTTTTCTTGGGGCACACCAGAATTACTCCCAAAACACTCCACTCGTAAATAAGCTGACATTAGGTACGGGACGGACTGCACAGAGCAGAGGCTTTGTCAACAAGGCACAGAAAGGTGAAACTTCACAACTTTCCAAAAACCCATTGTTTTGAGGCAGCAGCCTCAAAATAAACGAGAAATAATGACATAAATAAGCATTCAGGCATCTCAAGAGATAATGCTGATGAAGCATTTATGTATTTAGCACTTACGTAGACTAAAACCTTCAAGTTGTACAGATGAGTCACCTCAGGAACATCAATAACCTCAGGTGCTTTTTTCTCATGGATTTGTAGCAGCAGCACAACAGAATATTTACTTAATTTTTCAGTATCGGGGCTGCTTTTTAAGAATGGGACACCTTTCAAGACTAGTACTGACATGACATTGCTTAGGTTCTTCTGCCAAAATCTAAATAGCTGAGATTTTCAACCAGAACAAGATCAACTCTACTTAAACTGGTGGCAGAACAAGCAGTGGCTTGTTCTGGTATAACCAACTCCCATAAAATTATTCAAATATATCCTTAACTGTAATAAATTGTTTTATTTAATTAACTGCTTACTTTTTGTTTTCTAAACTGTAACAGACTGATGCTGAAATTTCTGGCAGAGAAACAAATGTTCCTGCAGGAATCCTAGAGCCCTGGCTGTTATCTGTGGTTCTGTAAATCTGTGGGACTGTGATTAATGGCAACACACAAGCTGGTGTGAAGAGGGGGCAGGTTTGTGGAGCTCTAAAGGACTCTTCAGCTTCCTTCATAGATCCCATACCCATGTGAAGTAGCACTTGGCACTGATTTAGGGACATACCAGGTTATTGCAGTGGGTTACCTACAGACCTTGCATTTGGCTTAAAGCCAAAGGGGCTGCTGCTGCTGGAGTTTACCTGAGCAAGAACAGCAAAAGGTAGCACAGCTCTCCACCCCTAGTGTGAGAAAGGTGGTTCTGGTCAGTAAATGTCTAACATCCAGTGCATGAATGTTGACTTTCACTCCCTTTTCAGCTCTGAGTCTTTTGTTAAATGTGGCTTCATACATACCTCTTCCATTGTTTCTGATTGCCAACAAATTTTCCTGCAGTAGGTTGGTACACATTGAATGTTACAAGTAGATTAGAAAACAAGAAAGAAAGGCACACAAAATTAGACTTCTTTCTACATTTGGAAGCTGAAAGAAGTAGCTACAGTTTTGAAAGTAATGTCTACAACAGTTCTGTAACTGCCCCATATATTGTGTTTAAATTCCTCTTTTCTAAATGTCCCTTTTTTTTTTCCACTAATTCCTGTAACAATGATAATAATAGCAACAACAACATAATTTTTAATTAGTAAAAGCTAGGTTTTTAAAAAAATTAAATGGCCATCTAGATGTTTACAGTATTGTGAATACAGAATGAATGTATTTAAAAAGCCATCCTGAATCAGTCAGAAAAGCACTATGTATACCTAACATATGCAATACATTAATTTCATAATCAGTTTTTATTTATAGCCCTTCTCCCATTCCTTATTTACACCTAATAGTAGTGATAAGCTCAATAATTAAAAAACCAGCAAGTAACAGTTGCTTACGGCATATAGATCTGAAAGCTTTTCCTCACGCTTTCCCATCCAAATTCATACATGGAATAAGAAAAATTTGAGAAGATTAAATTTTAAAAAATTGGAATTATAAGCTACCCAATATTTAGAAGAAGAGTTTCTTCTTACCTTTTCCCTAAATGTATAGGATGCAAAGCACGGCCAGTGCAGAGTCTAGGAGAAAAAAAAAGTAAGTATGATTTAATAAGAGGCAGGAATGTGAGATGATTAAAGGAGTGCAACAGAAAGAAGATAATAATGTTACTGTACACAGCATGCTAATAACTCTTTAACACTCATTCTTTTCCTAGGAATTTCATAGATTTGCCATTATACAGCATAACATTTCTAAACTTTTGAGACAATTTTAGAAGTAGGCTTTCTGCCTTTTTTTTGTATCTCTGAGATAGAACTTTCCATTTCTCTTCACCACTTAGAACATTATTCATATTTATGCTTGATAGAATACATTATGAATAATATACCTTCAAAGTTAAATACTAATTTAAACATCTTTTATTCTTTGTTGTTAATCTTGTTTTCTCAATAACCAAAAACTGACTGAAGACAAAACACTGTTCAATACATGAAATTAAAACCCTGTAAACATTGTTGATATTGTATTAAGTATAGCTGTTCACAAGGGCCTTGAATAATAGTCACACTCTTAGAAAAGACAACA